ATATCTGAAATGACATTGAGATGATAAGTCATTAAACGATTTAAGAAGTGATTAGGCTGAACACTGTTTTCAAACTTGGAGAAACTTTGCTAATTTCAACATAATTTTATATTTTCTTCTGCTTCTGCAAAAGTTTATGTTAATAAAGCACTACTCTAGTGCTATACATTATGTTGGAATTTTTGATAGATGAAATTAGATATGTAAATTTATACATGCTAGGCACATGCTAAATTTTGCTGGATATTTACAGAGTTTAAATTTCACTGTCTCTTTCTCTTCCAATTTACCTTATGGCTGGCTGCTCTGTCTGTATTTCAAATGCAATGATTCAAAACAGATATTTTTTTGGAGAGCGCAACCTTGGCTTAATTTGGAAGATGCTCATACATGTCATAATATAAATATGTAATATATTGCTATTCAGCATGGTAGTTAATTTAGCTTTAAAAGTTTAAAACTCACATATGCTTGAAAGCTTATAACTTCACCATGGTGATAGCTTGTGGCATCTATGAGAGAACTTTTACAAAATATTTGTGGAAACTTCCATTGTTTCCTTATTTTATTTTTCCATAAATTCTTTGAAGTCTCCCCATACATATTCATAAAGTTTTCATTTCAAAGTAAGTTTACATACAGGACTATTTCAATTTCCAAGAATAATTACAGAACTAACACAAATGTCATATATATAATTTTACCTCTCTAATTTTAAAAGCATATTGAATGCAATATTTCATTAAATTAACTTATAAATATTTCATAATCGTTTTCTACTTCTGATATCTTAAAGTAAATCCATTTCTAAAATTACATAAAATTCCTATCATCGCTTTAAAAAAGTAATAAAATGAGATATCTTACCTTGTGACCTTTGTCACCAGGTAGACCTGGAAGCCCATCAAATCCTCGATCTCCCTGTAAAATCATCATCATCATCATCATTATCACCATTATCATCTTCTTCATCACTATCCTCATCATCACCATCAGCATCTGCATTTCCAGACTATATCTGTACTAAAATTTGATTATGACATATTCTGACCTATCATGAAATTATATCTTAAAGTATAAACTGACATGCAAGAAAGACCTTAGTGTGGAACTGTGGGAATGCCTGACCTTTGCTCCAGGTTCCCCTGGCATTCCTCTGCCTCCATCAGCACCAGGACGACCCTGATGATGCAAAAACATAAGTAAGCAATGGAGATTCCTACTAGCACAGAGCAAAAGACACCAAGACAGCGATGTCATTAAAATCCCTTTATAACATCCAAGGAAAATCAACCATACCCTTTTCCCGACTTTCCCTGTGGGCCCAGGTGGTCCTTGGACACCTCGAGGACCCTATAAGAAAACATCACAATTAAACTACTGCATAGAAGGCTCTATGATTGAGTACTTGCACATAGGCAAAGATCGCTTTAGAAAGTGAGACAGGCTTAGCTTTATCGTTGCTTTCATGTAACTATTCATTTAAGTAAAACAAAATTATTTCTTAGATACAAATGGTGATAAAACAGAAGCTAAGAAACCAACTTTTTCTAAGTGACTTCTTCCCCAAAAATCTTATTATTTTGTAAAGCTTATATAAAGACACATGAATACATTTAAACATAGGCAATAAAACGCTATTTTCATCTTTAAAAAATCCTTATTTGTTCATATTATTCTCAAAACTTGGGAGCTTTATGCATCCTTTAGGTAAAATCTTAGTCATTTATCACAATCCCCTGTTCTTTCCAACTTCTTTTCCTTCACCTTTTTTATGTCTTTTCCTATAAATACCTTCTTTTCTTTAACCACAATGTCTGGTATATGTTTCTTTGATCATCTAAAAAATGCACATTTACTGTTTTTTTTTAAATTAGTCTGTCACTAATTTTCCATGGAATCGAAAGCTTCTTCAATTAAAATAGGTTATATAAATGATGTAATTCATATACTAATTTAGCAAATGCAGATATTTTAAACATCTTATAAATTAAAATATTTTCTAAAACATATGAGTAATATATATAACTTTTCTTTACCTGAGGGCCAGGATCACCACTCTCACCTTTGGCCCCAGATGAACCAGGTCCCCCCTAAAGACAAAAAGTGCATATATGATCCCTTCCACTTAGCAAGTTTCTATCTCTTGTATCCTACCACTTGCTCTTTAAATAAATAAGCAGTATCCAAAAGATAATCCATCCAAAAATCCTGGTTTCATTAGATACTAAATAAAAATTTCAATTTTTTTATGTAAATGCCTTTTTAAAGTTTGCTGATTTTATTCTCATGCATGAATTACATTTAAACACTATTTTGATATGACTACACAAAGACACTCCAAGAAAAGAAAATATGAAAATGGAAGGAAAGGAGGGCAAAAGGCGGTAAAGGAAGAAATGAGGACAAAATCTCCTGTATTTCTAGAGAAATTCTTTTCCATAAAGTCAACCTCAAAAACCACATTCAAATTTTCCTCAATATTTGCAACCTTAGAGCACTTGCAATAAGAGGTATTATTCTATGGTGTAGTATGGTGCTGTCAGGTAGACTTTAATCTAAGATACTGTTTAGAGCACTTGCAATAAGAGATATTATTTTATGGTGTAGCATGGTGCTGTCTGGTAGACTTTAGTCTAAGAACTACACAGTGGTTCAAACCCACCAGCCACTCCCTTAGGGGAAACATGAAGCTCTCTGTCCCCAGGGTAAGCCTCAGAAATCCGATAGGATGGGCTATGAGTCAGAATTGGCTCAATGGCAATGGGCAATATCAGAGGCAGGACATTTTTACTAAGTCCAGAGTCACTGAACCCATTTACACAACAATGCCTTGGAAAAAATGTTATTGCTTTTACACTAAAAATTCTCATATATGGAATTGTAGAGCAATAAGAAGTTAAGAACAGACAATCATTACAAATATCTTATTTTCAAAGAACATTTCCCAGACTGAATTTCTCCCCCCATTTTAGGACAAACACTTGCTAAAAGGTTTTACATAATTCAAACTATACAACACAACCCTGATACATTAACAGGAAAAAACAAACAAAAATAACAAGGTCATTTTAAATGGTTGAAATTTGTTTGAAAAAAATAATTGTAAGATATTTAGGCTCTGCAAAATGTTGCAGGATATTACATTGAACATGGTACTTATAGTTATTTAATATGAAAATGCACCTAGTGATTTAAGAAACTTATAGTTTATTCAAATCAATACATATTCAAATAACTAGTACAGTAAATCAAAGTGCAACATAATTAAGAATACTTCTAAATCTTTAAACGACAGATATTGAGAGCCTCCTTGTGGCTCCAAAGTAGAATTACTAATTCATATGGCTTCCGAGGAATATGGCAAACCAAGTAAGAAGAATAGTTTAATCTTGAAAATTGCAGGAATAATTTTCAGTCTTCTGATGAAAAATTCTTGCAATGGAATTTTTCCAAGAGAAACCAGAAGTTCTATATTAATAAGATTATTAAGCACTGAATTGAAAGCAACTAATGAACAGCCTATTTATTTTAATTATTTTAATGCGTTATGCTTTCTGATTATAAGCACTTACTCCTCAACAGATTATAACACTTAATTATAAACTTTGTCCAAACATGTAAATATTCTCAGATAATGTCTGATTGTAAAAGAATAAGAATTTTTAAATTCCATGTTTCCTACAAGTTATCTAATATAGAATTTCATTAGCCTTTAAAATGTTTCCATTGAAAGAGTATATATGTTTATGACAAAATATAGATCTAAGCAGTTACTTTTCTAAATTGTACAAAACAGGGACTTTATGGATTTTATAATACTCAAAATCAATAATCCTTCGTTATTATAGAATAAAATATATTAAAAATGAAATTATCAAAAAGAGGGGTAATTGTTTGCCTTCTCTCTCAATTCCTTTCTTTAATATGTGCTGTTATTCTTAGATGCTGATGGATAATTTGCAACTCACAGTAGCCCGACATACAACAGAATGAAGCACTGCCAGGCCCTGTGCCATCATCACAAGTTTTGTTAGGTTTCAGTCCATTGTGGCAGGGTGTGGGAGTTACATAATCTGCTGTCAATTTGAGAAGATTACAAGTGAAGAGCTGGTCTGGCCTGTCAATCAAAATATAACCAATGAGGCCTGTGTGACCATGGCCTTCTCCTGAGAATTCTGGGAACTCCTGTTTCTCCTCCTTGGAGGCGGAGACACTTCTCTCGCTCTGCTCACTCCCCGGGAGGTGCTCTACTGATGAGACACATGGAACTATGCTAGTGTCCTGAGCTGGAGAAGCCACATGGAGACCCCTGCCAGCACTGCAGTGCTTACACCACCACCGAATCCACAAGACTTCTCTCCCAGTGGCCTGTGTTCTTCTTCCTGTATTTGGCATCATTGCATGTGTTTCATGCGTCTGAAGAGGACTTTATTGATTGGTATTGGACATATGGGCTAAGAAGAGACTTAGGGACTTGATCTGCACTGGGCTGGGATGTTTTCTCAATATTCAATTGCTCTTGTATCTAAAGCTCTTTCTTATACAGATATGCGTGTTTATGAACTTGTTTCTCTCTAGTCTACCAAGACTAAACACAGGGACACTGTGTCAATCTAAACTGGCAAGGTTCTTCCTCGTTTTTGCCAACCCCTTACTTCAGCAAACATGATGTCCTTGCCAGGGACTGGCCCTTTTTGAGAACATGTCTAAAGTTGGACAGATAAAGGCTCATCATATTCTTTTCTAAGAAGCATTATTTCTGTACTTCTTCCATGGGAGATGAATTAGAATTAACTAGAAGGTAGTGAGTTCCATGTTAATTTAGTACTACCCTATGTACTCGAGTACAAGCCAACCTGAATAACAGCCAAGGCACCTAATTTTAACCACAAAAACTGCATTAAAATGTGCTGAAAAACTCGGCTTATACACTAGTATGTACGATATTTGCCAACACCATAATTCTAATGCAGCAATTATTTTCTATTATTCCTTATTCAGTGTTGAACATTCAGAAGCATAGGGATTGACTGAAAATGCTCTGGCTTGGAAGATGCACGCCTTAGTCTTCAAAGTGACATCTTTGCTTTCTAACACTTTAGAGAGGTCTTTTCCAGTAGAGCAACCCAATGCAATATTGCTATTGTTAGTTGCTGCCAGTCAGTTACAATATATCAGGACACCCTATGTACAACTGAATGCTCAAATATAGGGGAGGCAGTTGCCCCTGGCTTGGGTCAGGGCAACTTCGTCCTTCTGACATCTTGTCTTCAACACATTGCACAACAGATTTTCTCAATGCAATGTGTCACCCAGCTTCTTTTTTACTCTCTTGACTGATACTTAAATGAGCATTGATTGTGAATCCAAATAAAATGAAATCCTGGACAACTTCAGTCTTTTCTCTGTCTATTGGTCCACTTGCGAAGATTTCTGTTTTCAAAGACTGTGCTTTCCAATCCCGTAATTACAGTCTCAGAAACCCACAGCAGGGTCTGTATGAATCAGCACCTACTCAAGTGTAGTGAGTTTGGCTTTGCTTATATCAAGTTGTAATTCATATTGAAGGCTGTAGTCCCTGATTTCATCAGGAAGTGCTTTAACTAAGGTTGTATAACAAATTTCACTGGACTAGAGCATATTTTTATTTAATATCAAATTGTGTTTAATTTAAAGTTGAAACTAGATATTGATGAAATATAAAGCATATCATAATTGCATTTTTATGAAATTAATAGATGGACACATTACTCTTAATGATATGAGTATTTTCATTTTATTGATTTTATATTAAAGTTCATCATTTAAAGTACTTTCATGGAAACTTATTGAAGCCTAAGTTAAAACAGACTTTTAATTGACTCAAAATAAGGCATAGGGATTTTCATCAGCCTTTTTCATCAATCAGATAAGTGAACAACGGCTGGAAAAAGGTGTGCATGTATTCAGTAGTACTGGAATTGTATCGTGCGGTCTTTTTTAGTAACTTACCACAGGACCCGGTCTTCCAGTTAGACCCATTGGACCAGGTGGGCCTCGTAGAGCAATCTAGGAAAGAAAACGATCAAGTTCAGAAATTTACTCCTGGAAGAATATATTAAAACACAATTAATCACTTGTTTAAGCTACCTCTAAGTAAATTATCAATATACATATAACAGCTACTTGCTAGAAAGAGTGCCAAATTCTTACAGAATTACATATTTCTAGAATGCAAAAAATGCTGTATACATAACAGACATTTTAGCAGTTGTAACTCATATATACATATTTTACGCAGCTGTAATTCATATATAATAGGTTTTTAATTATAAATAATAAAGTTAAATTAACAAGTGTGATGCCTAATAATTTTACTGTTCTGAAATACACCTCAGAGTAATGCATGAGCTTCTGCTCTTAAATATATGTGAGTAAAACATATCATAGCCAATAATAATAATAATAATAAAAATAAATATTTAGTGTTCTTATAAGTATACTGTGTACACCATCTCTAATTTTTAAAACTGCCATTATACATTTTTAAAGGTACAGAAAATGGTAATTCTCAGTTTATAGAGGGTTATAAGCTGAAGATGGCTATCAACTAATTTTTTTGGTAAAAATATTGCACTCATTGCTATTAAGTAAATTCCTACTCTCAGCGATTCCACAGGATAGGGAAGAACCACTCCTAAGTGTTTCCAAGACAACCTTTATTGAAGCAGTTAGTGGAATAGAACTGTTGACCTTGCATTTAGCAGCCCAATGCATAACCCACTTCACTGTGTAGGCAACTCCAAAGACTGAGAAGTACACAATTATACCTCTGAAATGTATTTGAAAATTTATTCCTTTCATGTAAAAGAATGTCTGTGAAACAGTTCCTAAATTATGTGCAAAATTAAGAAATGTTTGTTCAAATTTTATTATCTTAATTCTATTTATACTCACAGACATACTTTATAGAGGTTAAAAACTGCATGTAAAATATATGAAGAGCTATGTTTTAAATGAAAATAAGTTTGTGTGCTATAATGGTATTCGGTCATATAATGGTAATATGACAAGGGTTAAATTCCTATCTGTAACATTTAAGCAAAGAAAATGTCACTACTGGAAAAAGTAAACAAAGTTTGCTCAGCTTTCCACCCACATTCAGTATAGTATTCAGAAGTGAGCATTCTGGTTATCATGTTACCAAATCCTAGAAACACAGGCACACACATAAATGCACACAGTCGGCATATGTTCGACAGCGGGAGCACTGGATTGGGGGACGCATGCGTGCTCTGCCTTACCCGAGCTTGCTGTAGGATTGCCTGAGCCTGAGCTTCTTGAGCAGAGATGCTTGGTCCTTTGGAGCTGTCCCCCCCGTAGCGAAACTAGGAAGAATCAAAATAAAGAGCTCAAAATTAGTTTTTCATAAGTATGTTTGTTTGGGTGTCTTGACCATGAAATGAAAACTACTTACTTCAATTACTGGAATTGCACAACTCCAAGAAAACTTCTGCGTTATTTTCTTTCTAATAAGCTCCTCTAACCATACGGCAATCAGTCATTGAGGTGGCAATTGCTCATTTGTAGAGGGAACATATTACAGACCCCTTTCCAATTCTAAATTCTATAACCTCTGAACAATTTTAAATAAAACTTCATACATTTTTATGCATATAAAAATATACGTTCTGTTAATTTATTTGTGAACATTTCCAATGTACTAAATTCCGTGGTGGTTACAGATTAGTCTTTCTTTGGTGGTGCCAAACTTTGGACTCACCAAAATCGTAGAAAATATTATCCTGGAAATATTTTCATTTTGCTTGACAGTACTCGGTTAACACTACTAAAGTGTGATGCTTCCTAATAACGTCTCCAAAAAAGTTGAACCCTCTTTTAATTTTAACTCAAATTCAAGTATGAGTCATGCTTTTATCCAAAGTATTCATTTCTTGAAATTCTGTTTATTCTATTTGATAAATCATTTTATTTTTTCCAGAAAACTACAATAAAGAACCTGAAGTGAATCTTTTGGTAAAGTAAATGAACATTGACTGGTGAGTACTGACCTACGTTTAAGCATCTCAAGTTGCTGTGCGGTGCTGTGGACTCAGTTCTGGTCTTACGTTCCAACCACTGAGTCCTGTGCAATCCTCACAATTGTACTCATGCTCGAGCCCACTGTCCCAGCCACTGTGTCCATCCGACTGGTCGAGCCTCTCACTCCATGGCAGCGTCTGTTACCAAGCAAAATGGCTTTTTCCAGGAACTGGTCTCTCCTGATAACATGCCCAAAGTACGTAAGAGAAAGTTTTCCACCCTCGTTTCTAAGGAGCATGGTGGCTGTTATTTCTTCAGAGGCAGACGGTTGTTCTTTTGCCAGTCAATGGTACTTGCAATAATCTCTCCAGCATATAATTCAAATAGATCAACTCTTCTTTGGTAGTCCTTATTCAATGTCTAACTTTTACATGCATGTGGGCAATTGAAAATACCATGCCTGGTCTCAGGCGCACATTAGTCCAAAGAGTAACATCTTTGAGCTTTAAAGAGATTTTGTGCAGCAGATTTGCCCAATGGAATGCATCCTTTGATCTCTTGAGTGCTATTTCCAAGAGCACTGATGGTGGATCCAACCAAGAGAAAATCCTTGGCATATTCAATCTTTTCTCCATTTATCATGATCCTCGTTAGTCCAGTTGAGGATTTTGGTCTTCGTTATATTGTAATCCATACTGAAGGCTCAATCCTTTATTCTTATCAACAAGTTCTACAAATCCTCCTCACTTTCACCAAACAAGTTTCTTTAATTTTGTTCCTCTCAGATTGAATAAGTATCCTAAAAGGTTACAACCGTGACACACATTTTTCTGGTTTTAAACTATGTGACAATCCTTATTCAGTTCTAATGACTACCTCTTGAACCATATACATGGTTCAAGGAAGTGCTTTGGAATTCCCATACTTCACAATATTATAAATAGATTTATGATACATGCATTCAAATACTTTGCATAGTCAGTAAAAAGACAAATAAACATTTCCCTGGTATTCCCAGCTTTGACCCCAGATCTATCTGATATGAGCAGTGATATCCCTGTTTCATGTCTTTTTCTGAATCTGGCTTGAATTTCTGTTACCGTTCTGTCAATGTACTGCTGAAATCTTTGTTGAAGGAATCTTTGGCAAAACATCTACTTACATGTGATAGCAATGATGTTGTTCTATAATTTTCACGTTATCTTAAGTCACGTTGCTTTGTAAGGGGCACAAATAAGGACCAGTTGGCCAATTAGCTGTCTTCCTAACAGAATAACGGGTGCTTCCAGTGCTTAATCAGCTTGTTGAGACATTTCAGTAAGTATTCTTTCAGTTTGGGGAGCCTTATTTTCCTTCATACCGTCAGTGAGGCTTGGACTTCTTCCTCCAGTACTACTTGTTCCTGCTCATGTGGTACCTCTTGAAATGGTTGAATATAGAAAAGGTCACTTTAATATAGTGACTGTATATGCCTCCAGTCTTCTTTTGATGCTTCCTACATGTTCAATCGTTTGCCAATTGAATCTTTGAACACTGCAACTCAATGCTTGCAGTTTGTCTTCCATTCTTTCAGCCTGAGATATGCTAGCGTGTCCTTCCCTTTCGGTTTCTAACTCCAGGTCTTTGCACATTGCATTATCGCACATTACTTTACTCTGTCTTCCTGAGCTCCCCTTTGAAATTTTCTCTTCAACTCTTGTACTGTAATTCTTCCATTTGCTTTAGCTACTCTTGAGACCAAGAGAAAATGTCAGAGATTTTTAGACCGCCTCTTTGATTTTTTCTTTCTTTCTTGTCTCTTAAATAATATTTTGCTTTCTTCGTGTATGATGTCCCTGATGTCATCCCACAGCTCTTCAGGTTCTCTCAATTTAGTGTTCAAAGGCTCACATCTGTTCGGGATAGCATATTCCAATCAGACTCTGGCCTGCTTTTGGTGGAAGACATTGAACTTCTCCACCTTTCCACAGATGTAGTTAATTTGATTCATGTGCATTTTACCTGGATATGTTCCAGTGCATAGTCACCATTTGCATTGTTGAAAAGGGGACAAAGTCGTCAGTCTTATAAAATTCTAATATGCTGGCTCCAGCTTCATTTCTACAGCCAAGGCCATATTTTCTGACTACTGTTCTATTATTTTTGTTTCCATTTTTTGCAGTCCAAATGCCAACAATCAATACTACATCTTGATTGCATGCTTGATCTATTTCAGACTGACGTTGGTAGACTTTTTCAATTTCTTCTGCACTAGATTGAGTAGTTGGTGTGTAAATTGGAAGAATAATTGTATTGACTGGATTTTTGGATTTGGATAGATTTTCTCCTGTCACAGATAACACTGCACATCAAGTTAGAGCTTTAAATGGCCTTCTTGACAACGAATGGGACATCACTCATCTTAAATTTGTCATTAGTGACATGCGAAACTACATGACTACCTGATTCAAAATGAGTGAGACCAGTCCATTATAGCTCACTAACACCTAGAATGTGTTATGCATGTTTATGCAGTTCATATGATTTTTCACGACTTCAATTTTCCTAGATACATGCTCCACGCTTTCCAAATTCTGATTACTAACACCCGTTTACAGCTGATTCTTCTCATTTTGAGTCATGCCCCATCAGTAAACGAAGGTCTTGAAAGCTTTATTCCATTCACCTCATTACAGTTGTCCTTCCTTGGAGAAGGCAGCCATATTTTGAATGCCTTCCAACCTATACATACCGAACAGTGTTCTACTGCTATTCAGATTTCCAGTATCTGACATTGTTAACTTGCTAGTTATAGTTTTCCATGTCTAATTCCTTAGAAGTTGATGAACTATACCTTCTTCATTGTCTGTTCTTAGTCTGAAATCACTGCAGAAAGTTGTTCACCTTGAGTGTCCCTGGTGGTATTTGAAATACCACTGCAAGCGCTTCCAGAATCTTAGCAACATACAAGCCACCACAGCACAATGAAGTGACAGACAATTGGTGGAAATTTAGTGTAACTTATGATAAATATTATATCAATGTTATTTTAAGTTTGTTATTGATAAAATTAAGATAAACCACATGATTGGAAAGATATTTTTAAACCAATAAGTTTTATTAGCAGAAGTCTAGTACCACAATGTAATCTTGGTTCTAATGCAATTATTAACATTTATTTATACTTTTTTAGTAACATTTCCGTTAATTCCCTAGTCTGGTTGCTTTTTAGTATCTCTGCCTCATAGAATGATTTGCACTTGACTTTTCTGTATTATAGTGAAATAATTTACGTGTAGGAGCAAAATAGGAAAATATCAAGGCATCTTTCTATCAAAAAAGGACTCACCGGTAACATTAACATAGTACCAGGAGGACCGGGTAGACCATCAGCCCCTGGCAAGCCAGGACGTCCTGGAGGGCCCTAAGAAAGTCAAAAGCATAATTTTAAAAAGCAGTCTATATTTATTAGGAAAAAAAACTTTAAGTAGCACAATTTTCTTTGAATTTGCTTGTTCCTCATTGGTTACTCTCTTCAATTAAATATATCTAGAAATATTTGAATTCCATTGTAGTAGTTTTGAATAATGTTAATAATGCCTGATTAGTAAGTATAATCCAAGGAGTTCGCAGTCTATTTACTTAGAATCTCAAATTGGATATGGTAAAAAGCTCATCTGTTCTAGGAGAATCAATGTTATAGAATCAAGTGAGTTAAATGTATGTTGTAGTTAAATAAGTAAATGATAAACTATTTAAAATCAAATTGATACCTTTAGTATGTATTTAAATATATTCAGTAGAGTATAATTAACCAATATTTACAATGTCTGCTTAATGTTTAAATGGTGCAAAAGTAGATGTTTATATAATGGGGCTTCAAAACATTTGTGAACAAATATCATTTTCTTTACTTTTGATTTTCTCTAACTTTTTGAAGCTCTTTCACTGTGACTATGGCATATGCTTAAAAATGCAAAGACGTGCCTGCAATTATTAGAAAGGTGAATAAATATGCATCTGTAAGAACCGTCTTGATGGCAGTAGTTGAATATATAATTAGGTGACTAAGTCTTACAAAGCAGATATTTATATGCTCCAATAGAAATAGGCTTTTTGATTTTCAAGTCATACTTTGGAGTGGTATACTCTAAAATTAACCAGTACATACATAAAAAAGATAAACTTGAACAATTCACTAAGTAAAAAAGCTTAAAGAAATGATAATTTCTTAAGAAAGTTAATACTTCTTAACTATATTATCAACTGCAGTCTGACAAGATTATATTTTATTTATACTATAAATCTAATAGGCACTCTTTAAGATTTTAAAATATCCAAAGATGCTAAAATAACTAATATAGAAACATATCATTATTTTTAAATTAAAAATTACCTAAAATTTTAGCATATTTATATGTCTATATTCTAAAACAATAAACAGTCTAAGGAGATTAATTCATAATCTGCAATAAAGTTTTAAGGTAAATAAATTATGGATTACAAAATATTCTTAAGAAAATGAAATTTCAAATTGGAAGGTATTAATTAAAGTGACAGATTATAAATAAATATCTGAATTAGACTGGACATAAGAGATGAAAAAAGCGAATTCTGTATAAAGTCCTATTTGCAAAGTACATAGTTTATACCCACAGACCTTAATTTGCTACCAGCTACCATGTCGGATTTCCTGAAATATTTTAGAATATGTCATTCAGTGAGTTTAATTTTTTAATTTGCTTTTAAAACTACAAATGTATAAGAAGGATCAACCATTTACATGTCTCATTATTTCTTAGCACTATTGTTAAGAGGAAAAAAGCAAAAACATTCAAAAAAGCAAACCCCACAAATGTATTAATATTCAAGAGTGGAGACAAAGAGAAGAAAAATAGAGAGCACACTATACATGGGAAGAGGGTTTAGTAAGATGATCTGAAGAGACTAGATGGAAACTTTACCTATTTCATCTGTGACTTAATCCTCAAATTATAAATTTAAACTTATTAGTTCATGCTATTAGTATCATAATAAATATCTATGAGTGTCAGGAAAATATGTGAAATTAAAATGTGAAGGACCGAATCTAAAGTAATGAATTCCTATCAGTATGTAAATGGAGAATAAAAGTTTACTTAACAATTATAACATGAATACATTCTTTAATCTTTCTATAGTTAGAAAAATGAACTAAACTATTATACAAGGAATTAGTAGACAGCCCCCATCCCTAACCAGAAGGGTACAAGCTAAACTTCTCGACTATTTTTAAGATGTTTTATCTGTATTATATGTTTTAGACTTATGTAATAGTGTAGCCCTTAACTTACCCTGTCTCCAGTGTCACCAGGGGGTCCAGTGGGGCCTTGTAGACCTGGAGGGCCCATAAGACCCTATGGAGAGAAAAATATATGCTCTGATTCAGATTCCTAATCTCATTAGTATTCAGGAAAATCTGACCCATTAAATTCAAAGAAGAGCTCATTCATGTTCCAGAAATTTATACTTGTCTCCAAAGCAATTACTCTATTTATCTTCCTATGAAAAGACAACATATAGAAACAGCTTCATGGCTAGCTCCACTGTTCCTCTATTAACAGGCTCTCAGAATGGAGATGGACATTTCAAGGAAAACAGGAAAGGAGGTTGTGCCAATGTAAAGACCCGGAGGTAGAAGTTGGTTCCCAGTCCTCACTGAAGAAATTGTATACTTGTAAAACTAGACTTCAAAATGTGATAGCAAAGCTGAAAGCCAGAAAACATTTATCTTGCAGGCATTTTTATTTTTTCTTTTACAGAAAATATTTAAAGGCAGCTAGGATACTGATATTTAAAATAAAATATAATTATTTCAGATGACTCCAGCTTAATTTCCCAAAAGACAGAGACATTTTCCACAAGGTCAAATTAGTACAATTATTTTGAATCAAAACACACCGAATGACTTTAGCCTTAATAGGAAATAGTACTGAAAAGGATAACAACTGCATGAGAAGAATAGGTAATGCAGACATGCTCCACTTGTGTTTGTGGTGTGCTTTCCAGTCAATATGAACTCAGGAACCTACAAGGAAGAGTAGAACTATGCCCTTGAGCTTCCTAATTTGTAATCTTTATGGGAGCAGACCATCAGCTCTTTTCTCCCTTGAACCTACTAGTGTGCTCAAACCACCAACCTTGCAAGTAGTCCCCAAACACTTACAGCCACCAGGGTTCCTTTACAGTTGACCTCAAAATCTTCATTTCTTTCTTACTTAGAAATAATTCTATGCCTCAATTGTGTAAAGCACACATATACATTCATTTCCCTTTTTAAGAAAAAGGTTATAGTGCCTTTGCTTTCCTAAAATTCAGGGTTGTTGTTATTAGGACTGTAATTCTGACTCACAGCAGCCCTGTGTACAACAGAATAAAAACTGCCTAGTAACTAGGCCCTAGTTGATCCTATACCATTCTCATCATTATTCCTATGTTTGAGCCCAATTTTGCAACAACTGTGTCATTAGGATCTCAATGATATTAAGAGTTGCTAAGATAGTTAGATGGCTAAAAACTGTTTCAAATAAAATTTGATTCTCAATCACACACACGAAAATACCGAATAGCCAAATCTGAAGGAGGAAGGTGAAGGCCAAAGCCTCTTTGAAAAGAGTCTAACCTCCATACTCTAATAATAAAATGTGTCTAAAATATGTACACTTAAAATGTAATGTGACTCTTTTACCAACTATAAAATATCAAAGACAAAAATAATTCTTAAAAATTTACATACCGCTGGTCCAGATGGTCCTGGTGGCCCTTCAATAAGCATACCCTATCATTTAAAAAATATAAAATAAAATCATTAGAAAATCATTATCAGAGAAATACAGCTCCAAACATTTTAAGAAATCACATCACTACATTTTTAAAAACGTGAAATATATTTTTCAACTGTATAAAAGGAGAGGAAGAAATTCTAAGTAATGAAAGTCCTACTCTCAAAAAAATGACATACTAATGTTTTTTAATTGGTATAGTACTTATGAAATAGTATTTAGATGGGAGCAGGGAGTGAGGGGGAAAAATGAAGAGCTGATGCCAAGGGCTTAAGTGGAGATCAAATGCTTTGAGAATGATGCAGGCAACGAATGTACAAATGTGCTTTTACACAACTGATGTATATATGGATTGTGATAGAAGTTGCATGAGCCTCCAATAAAATGATTTATAAAAAAAATAGTGTTTAGAAACACCATTTATGAGAGAGAGATAAGGTTGGGAAATAAATGTTCAGGACACATGCTGTTGTTCAAAATATGAAAATTAGAAAAAAAATTCATAGAAATATGAAAACACATTACATTAGAATGGATAATGCGCTAAGTGCTCTAGTGAAGGACATACAAACAAAAGAGACATGGTCAACTTTTCCATATGGTTGCTCAGTGCCTTTCAGTCAGTTCTAACTCATAGTGACTTTATATGCAACAGAACAAAATATTCCCATCCTCACACTAGTTGTGTTTGAACTGACTGTGCAGCCACTATGTCAATCCATCTCAGGGAGAGTTTTCCTATTTTCAGACACTCTTCTTTCATAAGCATAATGTTCTTTTACAAAGACGGGTCTCTACTGAGAACATTCCCAAAGTACCTGAGAAGCTTCACCATCTTCACTTCTTTGTGTTGTTGTTTTTAATCATTTTATTAGGGGCTCATACAACTCTTATCACCATCCATACACACATCAATTGTGTAAAGTGCATTTGTACATTCATTGCCCTCATCATTCTCAAAACATTTCCTCTCCACTTAAGCCCCCGGCATTAGGTCCTCATTTTTCCCCATCTTCACTTCTAATGGCTATTCTGACTATATTGCTTCCAAGAACTTGTTTCAATGTCAGGAAGTTCATGGTAAATTCAGTGTTCTTCTCCAAGACCGTAATTCAAACCCATGAATTCTTCTGTGGTCTTCCTTATTTATTGGCCCAATTTCACACACATGTGAGGCAATGCTTTTGTGCTAGGTTCTGAGCCGGCGCAGCCATGTGCACAGCAGAAGGAGACACTGCAGAGTGCTGCACCAGGCTCACAGTTGTTCCTGTGCTGGAGCCAACCGGGGCAGCCACTGTGCCGTCCATCTCCTGGAGGCCCTTCCTCTACTCCCTGCCCCTGTTTTACCAAACACGATGTCCTTCTTCAAGGAGTGGTCTCTCCTGACATTATGTCTAAAGTATGTGAGAGGACGTATTCGTGCCTCTAAGGAGCACACTAGCACACTTCTTGCAAAAGAGATTTATTTGTCTTTCTGGCAGTCCACGGGACTCTCAATATTCTTCATCCACACCAATATTCAAATGCATCTATTCTTCTTAGGTCATTCTTAATCAATGTCCAACTTTCACATACATATGAGGACATGGAAAATAGCATGGCTTCAGTCAGGTGCAACTTAGTCCTCAAAGAAACACCCTTGCTTTGAATACTCAAGAGGACTTTGCAGCAGATTTACAAGTCTTTTGATCTCCTGACTGCAGCTTCCATCACCATTGCTTAGGGTTCCAAGCAAAACAAAATCCTTGATACCCTGAGCCTTTTCCCATTGATCGCGATGTGGTCAAATGGGTCAGTTGGAAGGATTGTGGTTTTCTTTACACTAAATTGAAACCATCTTTAGTTTTCATTTCTTTGATTTTCATCAAGTACCTCAAGTCTCCCTGACTTTCACTGAGCAAAGTTGTGTCATTTTCATATAGTTAGTACGAATAAGGCTGACTTCGATCTCGATACTGGATTCTTCGTAACATTGTCCAACTTATTAGACTATTTGTTGAGCATAGAGGCTGAATAAGTACAGTGAAAATGTACAACCCTGAATACACCTTTTTGATTTTACACAATGCAGTGGTCCCTTATGCTGTTCGAACAACTATCTCTTGGTTCATGCACAAGTTTTTATGAGCATTATCAAATATCCATTAATTTTGATTCTTAAAAATGTTATCCATAGTTTATTACAAAACACACAGTAAACTATCTTTGCATATTCCATGTAATGAAAGTATGCATCTTTTTGGAGTTCTTTGCTTTCAGTAGAGAGACATCTGATACCAATCATGATACCTCTCATTTTGTGTTTTCTTCTGAATGCAGTTTGAATTTCTGGAAGGTCCTTGTTGATGTTCTGTTACAAGTATTTGTAAATTAATTTCAGCAAAAATTTACTTGCATGTTATATTAATGCCATTGTTCAATATTCTGTTGGGTGCACTTTCTTTGGAATTTGCACAAATATGGATCTCTTGAAGTCACTTAGCTATGTAGCTTTCTACCAAAGTTCATGGCTGACACTAGTGAATGCTTCTAGTGTTTCATCAGCTTATCCAAACAGTTCAGTTGTTATTCTGCCAATGCCTTAAGTCTTGGTTTCAATCAATATTTTCAGTTTAGATTTGATTTCTTCCCTCAGTACCATCGGTTGTTGATCATATATATACAACCTCTTGAACTGGTCAAACATCTGCCAGTTCTTTTGTTACAATGACTTTGTGTATTTCCATCCATCTTCTTCCGATGTTTCCTCCAATGTTTAATATTTTGTCTATAGAATCCTTCAATATGAAAACGTGACCCTTGAGTTCTTTCTTCATTTCTTTCATCCTGAGATGAGCATGCTCTTCCTTTTTGGCTAATACCAGGGGTCTATATATTTCATTATAATATTTTGTATTCTCAAGTAGTCTTTTGAAATTTTCTGTTCAGCTCTTTTACTTCGTCATTTCTCCATTCACTTTAACTAATCTCAATTCAAAATCTGGTTTTAGAGCCTCTTCTTACATTCCCTTTGTTTTGTTCTTTCTTTACTGTCTTTTTACAAAATTCATCATCTTATAGGGAGCTCTTTCAGATGCCATAATATTCCATAATTCAAATAGATTAAGCATAATTGTACAATTGCTACTACAATCAGTTTCAAGAGATTTTTTTCTTGAACTCTTGATATTAGCTCCCCTCAATCTTCTCCCCCCAC